GCCTTCGCGACGTGGAGCGCCAGTTTGCCATTGCATATAACACGCCCAAATTCAACAATACCTGCTTGTACGCTCGTTTTTCGAAATGGCTCCTGGCAAGATGTCTCCCCGTTTTGACCACTCTCTGACCATCTGCCCACCCATGACGGACAGAACACACGGTCTAACTCGGACAACACCCGAAGTTTTAGGCCCCTTCGCTTTTTCGACGTCTGGGCGACGGAGCATTACTTCGGAATGAAGTGACAACAGACTCACGGCAACGAATTTGAATCATTAGAGCGGTCAGTTCGACGGACCCCTTACCGTCTTGTGCTAATGAATCTCCCAAGCCACGACGACCTGGGCCTGCTGCTAGTACGAGCCGCCGGCCGCAGGTACGCAGCCGATTCTTTGTTAAGTTCCTCTCCATACGTTTCTGCCGGAACCCCAGACTGCGGTCCTTCTTTGTCACGAGGTCGTCCGAATCCAACGATCCGGCGCGAGCCGCAGCCATGCTAGGTATGACGAAGGAGGAAGAAGGGGGGCGGGGGGCAGAGCGCCATCCGTTGCTCTCTCGGGTGCCCAAGTGACAGCATCGACGGCGAGGGCCCGCAGTAACCGCCATGGCTCAGAGGTATTTCCCACCGCCGGTGGGCAAACAAAGTGGCCATTGGGTTTGGAGAGGCGAGGGACGGTGACAGTGTATCACACATGCTGTTAGAGCTGCAAAGAGATTTCGGCTGAACCACACTCATCAGCAGTAGACTGGTTGGAAATTCTGGCCTTCGCCGACTCGAACCGACAAGTTTTGCTATTTTCGCATAACAATAGAAGACAGGCAGTCGCGGACTTGCATCACCCCGCCTTGTTTGTGTCTGCCTTATTTCCTCTTGCCTTTTTTTGCACTTTCTCTTTGTCTTACCGTACCTCTCTGTCCAACCATGCCGTGCATTCCTTTATCTCCCCTACCTATGCAATTACCTTCGGTGGTTTTGTGTGGTTTGGCCAGTGCCTGTTTTGGCTGGTCGGCCGGATATTTCTCGAGGTGTTACGACTGACGAGGGAAAGCCGAAGAGGACTATTTTGCTAATTTGGCACGGCAGCATACCTACCACAAAGGATACAGGTGAAGACAGAAAAGCTGCCCAGATTAGGAGCCGCCGAGAATCGATCACGCAGTTGTCCAAGACTCGCCTCGGTGTTTGCCATTGCACGGCTTTGGGGGGTTTTTTTTGTGGTTGGCTCTGCATGGGCATTGGCGATCTGGGGTGACATGGGACATAACGCGCTGAACTGTGTGTTTAGGACAGAGCACTCATCCCTTGGGACACTGCAGCCGGGTTCAGAAAGAACCAAGAAATTTTTTCCTCGGGCCGTTTTGTTTGCCTCCCGCTTCGTAACGTGCCGTTGTACGTCTGGGGGGAGAAGGGTGATTATTTCGCCCTCGGACGGAAAAGATACTGAAACAGACACAGGTGAAGCGAGCAAAGAGCCCAGAGCAGAACAGAAGCTGAGTCTCGAAATCTTGGTCTGGTTGGCCAACGCCGAGGGGGGCACAGCTGGACTTGTTCAAGTCTAGATACCTAGCTGCACGCACTAGTGTCGAGTCAAGCCGGTATTGTGTAGCTGACGTTACCTCGATGGGTTGGCTTGATGTCGGCAGGCGAGAAGGGAGAGGGAAAAGGGCCTAATGCCCGGCCGTTTTCTTTCCACTCCGCCGGCGGTACCTGTCGTCTTGTCTTGTCTTGCACCTTGAAATCTTGACTTTTTGACTTTGGGAGGAGGGGTGGTGGTGGTGGTAGTGGCAGCTCAGCTTCTACCCTCTAGTTGTCGGGTCGGTCCTTGCGTGTTTCTTCCCCGTTCCTTCTCCTCCTCCTCCTCCTCCTCTCTCTTTTTGTCCGCTAACATGTTAATTTCTGCAAATGGACGGCATGGTGTGGGCTCTCCAAGGCGGTGGACGATGGCAGGGTATCGTATCCGTACCTACACAATACGGCGTAGGTGGTGCTTTTCCAAGTTGATCATTCTACTGACGATACCTCACTACGGGCTCTTAGTACGTACCTGGTAACGGGGAACTAAAAGCAGGCAGCTCCCCAGCTGGAGGAGGCGCCGGTGTTGGAGCAAGACCACGGCCCCTAGGTAGACGAAGGGGACCTAAGGGAAGGGAGGGGATACTCCCGCTCACGATAAAGTCACCCATTGGGCGGTGCGATATGATCCGTCCGCTGTGCCATTCCCGCTCGGCTCCACTTTATCCACACTCTGAATGTGTGGTGGGAGCAGGGGGTGCATGTACGGAAACTAGAACCTGGAGCGCATACGCAATACATACGGATACAGCGAGCAAGAGACGGGTGAAAGGGGGGGCGAGGGGAGGCGGAAGCAGAGCGATGATGAGAAAGACAGAGAGAGAGAGAAAGAGAGACAGAGAGCGAGCGCTATGGGAGGAGGGGGGGGGGGGCGTGTGTGTCTGTTTTGGTACCTTGGTGTGTGTGGTAGGAGTGAGTGACAGCAGATTCCCATCCCATTGCAGCCTGCAGGTGGAGGTAGGTAGAATGTTGCAGGTGCTGTAGGGTTAGCAAGGTAGGACCAGCAGCGAAAGAAGGTAAGAAATGGAAAGGCATCAGGAGAAGGAGGAGCAAGGAGCAGGAACAGGAGCAAGAAGGGAATGTCGTGTTGGTCATGGGTTTGGCCTTGATCATTTCGTCGATTGCATCTCATTCGTGCCAATGGACAAGGCATAGTGACCATTTGTCGCGCGCCGTCGATTTTGTTGCAGACGCTCCTACTCTTTGATATAGGTACCTTTTTGCTGGCCAAGAGGTTCTCTTCGCAGCCGTCTTCATCCTCCCCATGTTCAGGACTGCTACACCCGGGCACGGATACTGTCGTCATCGCCACCATCATCGGAAGTTCTTCAGACTTCATCTACCTTACCTTACTGCACCCCAAGCCGCGTTACCAACCCTTCCATCCAGATCCCATCATCCAACCACCTATCCGCACCCGCACCGCTCCCTGCCGTCTTCCAAGGTACCCGAGGGTTGGCACCCTGTTTGCCTCGTACCTGAACCTGGGCCCGGCCCCGGCCCCGGGCCTACGCCGTACATCTTCTACACCCTGCGTGTTCTGAGCCCTGCCCGGGCAGCGTGCCTGTTGTCTGAGGGTGGTTGCTTCAGGATGATTCCTCCCTCTCCTCTCCATTTCTCGTCGTCGCTCAGCCGTACCGTTCCCTAACAATATCTCATCCCATCTTCTACAGTGCGCCGCCTAACTCCAGTAGAGGTGAATTCCCTAGGTTAAGTGGCCAAGGTTGCATCCATGATTATTACCAAGGAACGACTGCCCTTTTACCTCCATCTCGCATACAACCGCCCGTATTTATTGCACACCGCACTCTGCACCAAGACATGAGAACAGGACAAAACAGGAACACTGCAACTCAATCTCGAATAGACAATAAGCGACCAGCAACAAGGCAACATCTTTGATGTGGCTCCTCGTGGTCAGTACCTCAAGGTATCTGTGTCACTTGGTCTCCGAGTACCTTACGTACCATTCAAGGTACCCAGGAGACCCATTCCGGCCAGCGATATCATTCAATAAAGAAATCGGGTCGAGTGCGTGCAGTCGTCCTTTGACTATCGCCAACCTCATTACCAAACAGCACCTTGGGGGCCAAGAGAGTGAAGGCACATAAAAAATAAAAATAAAAAAAAAGACAAAAAATAAAAAGTACGTTGCCCCCCCTCCACCAGGTTTTGGCCAACTGAGCGGCGTTACTCAGATTCGAAGCGCGTGCCGTCCGGTTCCTTGCGCAGCGGCAACGGGACTGTCGAGGAGGTTACGGTGCGGCACGCTTCCTTGCCTTACACTGCCTCTGCCTCACCACACTTCAGCATCCGCCAGGGCCGTGTTGCGCATCCGGCGTGTAGGCATTTGGAGTGCATAGGTGCGAGGTCTTTTCGTACCTTGCTACGCTGTCTGACATGCGTAGAATTATCTTAAGAGTAAGTCGTTTATGAGATGTGGGATGAGTGTGTGAGTGAGTATGTGAGAGGAAGCGCAAAAGCAAATAAGAATAAACATAGGGTCAAAATGTGTGAGTGAGTGAGGTGAGGGAGGTGGGAAAGAGAGACAGTGTGAGTTTGCAAGTTGTGTGAGTGTCCGCATATCTGCCCTGCCGCTGTCTCTCTCTCTCTCTGCTTCCGTTGCTACTGTCGTGGCCCTGCTGCTGAATGCCCTTCCGCCATCCTGTTCCCATGCTCTCTTCATCCATCCATCAGGTATTGTTCCTCCACCACACACACACACCCATGGGCCGGGGGGAGGGGTGAAAGAAGGGGTGGAAGAAGGGGGGGGGGGGGAAGGGGAAGGGTGAGCCACACCCATCTCACGCGCAATGATAAAAAGATACGTACCTGGGCGGAGGATACTCGAGGCTGGCACCCCATGTACCCGATACACTCAGTACGTATCTACCTGCCTTACCTCTTGGTTCCCATCCCAGGGCAGTGTCCCAGTGTCCACACTTCAGCGCACGCCTTTTTTCCCTGGCTTGACTCTCGAGACCTTGGGACACCTTGGGACCTTGGGACCTTGGGTGGAATTCATGAGATCCTTGGGACATGGACATGGGTACCTGTACCGCGTCTTCCCTGGCACTTTCGTCCCAGAAAGTGGATGAGAGGGTACCGTACTACGGTACCTCCCCTTCCCTTTCCCTTTTCCCTCCCTTCCCTTCCCCTTCCCTTCCCCTTCCCTTCCCTACCCTTACCCCCCGTACCGACCGCACCGCACCGCTCCATACCCATCCATCCAAGTCTCAAGGTCCCAAGTTCCCAGAGTACGGATGCTGGTCCCATGGTGGGACAAAGTCCAAGGTCCAAGGTAGTCTATACTACTGTCTACACAGCAAGGTAGCTAGGTACGGAGTACGGTAGGGACCGTACGGGGTACTCGTCAAAGGTACGGATACTTCTACCTCACGCAGTAGCGTCTCTTTCTTCTCTTGGTTTCTTACATCTTTGGCACAATCCCTCTCCTGCCACTCCACCGCCGACCTGGGCCTTACCTACCCTTTTTACATTACTTTACCCGCCTTGCGCCTGCTCTGCCTCGCCTGCCTTACCTCACCTTTCTCTCTTACCTCTCTTTCCCTTTACATCCCTTCCAACCTCACCTCGAGCTGTCTGCGCCCGTCGCTCCTTGTCATTCTGACTTGGCTCTCTCTACCTTTTCAACCTGCCGACCGACCGCGCACACAATCTTCATCCATCCTTCTTTCTCATCGGAACAGCATCGCAAAAAAAAAAAAAAAAAAAAACCCTCTCGCTTTTGGGTTCTCTGCCGTCGCAAGGAAGGAGAAACTGAACAGGGACAGGAAGAAAGAAGCCAGTAGAAGAAGAAGAAAAAGAAGCAGAAGAGGGAAAACAGGGACCGCAACATAACCCTCGTTACCATCGACACTTATCCTAAGAAGCTCCCGTCTGCACGACCAACTGCTTGCCGCTGCTGCTGTTGCTGCTGTTGTCTCTCGCCGGCAAAACACAAGTCGCCGACTCACCGGGATTATCTCCTACTTAGTAGTACCTGACTTACTCGGTTTGATGATCCCGACCTGATCTCACTTTCATTCCTCGACAACAGCGACACTACTCAAAGACGCATTCACCCACGTTTGCGCGGCTGTCATCACTGTGGGAGTCGGATCATTGCCAAATCCGCCACTTTAAAATTAATCATTCCAGCCACGCGGTCCTCACATCCGTACCACCCCGTTGTCGAATCTCACCGCACTTGCCTTTTGCGCGCCGAGCTGTCGCTGCTTACTCTTGCGCCCGCGCTCTCCGACGGCTTATACGACACCCGCTATCCGTACTCAACTCCAAAAATCCCCCCCCCCCCCACCACCGCCACCATTCTGTGTGCGCTTGCGCTTCTCGAGTCAACCGATTTGGCTGGCCACGCCCTCTTCTGTCCGCCACAGCCCGCTTGGTCATGATTCTTGCCCTTCCCGTGCTTGGTCGGAATTTTTTGATAGCAGGGTTCGACGGATAGGCCAACCTTTCGCGGAGGCCATTACCGCATTTCGCCCCAAGGGCCCCTTTGAACCACACCACCAACTCCAAACACCCCTCCACGACACCCACTGCTCGTCAACACGATAGCATCGCGCGGCGACGAGAGTGCAGGTTCAGTCGCGGCATCCGGGTGGACTCGCCGCAACCAGAGCATGGCAGAGGAGCAAGGACGAGGGCCGCCTTCTACACACCGAGAAGACGAAGGTCGTCACCAACTTCCCCCCGTGGGAGCACCCGAAGACCCAAGATACCACGACGACAGACATCATAGACCCAACATGGCCGCACCAGTAACACTTCCCTCCATTCAGGATCCTCACGGCGCCTACGGCCAACCAGCCTACCCGAGGTCCTACCCTGGTGATCCACGAGGTGACCCGCGCGCCGATCCGCGCGCCAGCAACTACAGCGCCTCCCCGAATTCCGTTAACGGCTACCCGCCGCCGCAACCGGGTGGTCATCCGCCGCAACTGCCGCCGTTGCAACCTCCGGGAGACCCCAGATCTCCCACTTATCCCCCTCCGCCAGATGGAAGGGACGACTACTACAGAAATCGCCAGCCTCCGCCGCAGTATGGCGACCCCTACTATCAGGAGTATCACAACCGCCAAGGCCCGCCTCCTCCGGGTCGCTACGCGGACTACCCTCCTCCTGGCCCTGGTGGCCCACGATACGACTACCCACCAGGCGCACCGAGATACGACTATGGTCAAGGAGGCCCTCCCATGCAGCAAGCTGCCCCAAGACAACGAACCTCCATAGCTTGCAGATACTGCAGAAAGAGAAAGGTATATTCCCCCCTCCCAGAAGCGATGCGACAAAGGAACTTTTTGAGACTAATTTGGAATGCTTTAGATTCGGTGCAGCGGCTATCAGAGTGCGCCTGGCGGCAAATGCGTGAACTGCAGCAGGATGAACCAGGAGTGCATATTCCAGCCCGTGTCTTCGTCTAGCTCGACTGCATTTGTGCCCGTTTCGGCCATCCAGGGAGGTGTTCCACCGGGAACGCCGCTCTACGGAGCTTACGGGCAGCCTCTTCCTCCGGGTTCGCTGCCTCCGCCACCGGGCCCCCAGGGTTACCCCCCTCAACCTGGCAACGGCGGTTACTACCAACAGCCACTCCCTTCACCAACGGGCGGCTACTCGCCATACGACGCGCAGCGTGGAAGGAGGCGGCCGAGGGACGATGACGTTGACGAGCTCCGACCTCCGCCACCCGACCCAAACTCTGCAGACGATCCTCGACGTCGCTCACCAGCCTCGAGCTCGAACCACAGCAGCCCGGGAGGCTACATGGGCTATTCGCAGGGCGGTCACCCCGGATATGACCCAAGAGCGCCTCCGGCTAGACATAGCCCTGGACAGCCAGCGGCAGTACCTCACCCGCAGACGGGAGACGAGCGAGCCGCGGCAGCGACCCAGCGACAAAGCAATTCCTCCACACCAGCAGCATCCTCGAGCTCGGTCATGAGCCTGAATAACTTGGTGGACACGACTCCAAATGACATTGACAGGAACATGTTGGGAAGGCTGAACCGGCCCCCAGTGAGGAAGTGAGGAGATGAGGCGCATGGAGGCGGAGAGAGCGTGATCTTTTGTGTTGGGAGGGGAACCTAATTATTCCGCGGATATCGACCGCCTCAGTCCGACGCAAATAGGAATGGATCTGCTGGCCAGGTACTCTCTTCGCCTTGGAAAATCTCTCGACACGACAACCTCGGAGACTGCGCTTTCACCTCGATCATTGCGAGCGATGCCGGCGAAAGCGGCAACGACGGCAAGGGATTTATGCGATTTAACTCGGGTTGCATACATTACAAAGTTCATGGAAAAACGCATATCGGTCTTCGACGGGCATGGGCAGGCATGAGCTTCTGTAGCAAGCGAGTTTTCATGATGGATGGGGGGACTTGGCGGGAACGGCTTCCAGGATCAGCCAAAAAAAAATTTCACGGTCAGCATCGTCTTGATTTTCGCTTTTTTGGTGTTTGCTGGGGGCTGGCTGAGGTTGGGAAATGGTGGGAGGTTTTTTGCTTGAGCATACCACGTACGCGGGTTTCCCGAGACCCGGGAAACTGGTCCTTGCATTCTTATTTGCTTTGTTCTACACCTTTTCTTTTCGTACACAGTCATTTCCCAAAGGAACGGAAAGGGTTAAGATTGGTCTGCCTCACGGCACACGTCTGTTTTTGATTTTCTGTCCTGCCTTTTTACTCATTTTTAGTACCCATTGTCCGACACGCCACACATGCTGGTGTGTCGCATTTTTCATGTCAAAACCGCTGCGTACCTTTTTTATTATCTTATCTTTACTAGTACCCCAAACGTTGAGAGAGTTAACGAAGGCGAAATCGCGCAAGCGATGCAAAGGAATTGGGTGGCAAAGATATCACACAAATAACCTCATCATTTTTTTATTTACATCCCACATGACTTGGACGCTTCTATTGTTTTCCCTCTCCCTCCCTGTCATGTTATGTTTTGCCTACAGAAGTCAGAAGTCGGCAGCACCACGAGGGCTACAAAAACTACCGAGGTTTTTTTTTTTCTACTTCATTCCAACGATTCTCTCTACTCATGATTGTCATGTCCTCCATCTCTCGCATAGCAACACCCCCCGGTCAAGGTGTGGTGTGCGGTTTGGAAAGAAAGTAATGAAACAAAACATTTACATTGAAAGTCAAGCGTAGCATTGTCACTATTGTCGCCATCATTTATGGTATATCTTTATTTTTTTTGCTTGTAAAAGGTTTTACGAGTAAAAGAACAAAGCAAAAGAAAAATCTTTGTACCAAAGCTTCTACATTGTTTGCTGAATATTGCTATTGTTAATCGCTTGCTGTCTCCAAGTCCGTAATCCCGAGGAGCAACACAACCCAGAAGAAACAGGTGTTCCCACCCCCCCCCCCCAGCTATATGTGCCACGTCATATTGATCTGACGGTTGAAAGGGCAAAAGGCAAGGGGAAAGAAGCACAGAAGCAACTAACGCTTTGGAGGGGGAGAAGCACGGACAGATCATCCGCTTTAGCAGGACATAATAGGGAGTCGAGACCAGTAGTTTCCGTCTTGAATATCAGATTAAAGCTTCTTCTGATATCGATAAACGTGCGCTTGCCCGCCGGCCGGGTGGAGGGGGAGGGGAGGGGAGGGAGGGGTGATGGGGGAAACTCTTTTTTTCTGCACTGATGTTTTTTTTTTCTTTCTATTGGTGACGAGAACCTACTATCTTACTCCCTAAGGCAGGGAGAATAGAAGGGTAAGGGGAAATGGAGCGGGAGAAGGGGAAGGAAGGTGAGGAGCCACCACCACCGCTTGTTGCCGCGGCCGCCGGTGCCGCACCGAGTTCACCCAGTTCTCCTTCCCCCTCTTCCAACGACCCCTCACCCGGACTCACAAGTAGGAGTGGAAAGGCAGGAAAAGGAATGAAAGAAAAAAAAAAGAAAAAAAAAAGGGGGACATTGATTGTTTGCTGTACAGAAAAGAAAAAAAAAGAGTTTTGGGGGCCGGACCGCTGATGCTGTCAAACCCGGGACCTAGCCTGCGTCCTTTCCTAAAACCAAGCCTCATTCCACCCTTCCCTCCTCCTCCCACTCCCCAGAACCCAGGCACACGGGGAATAGCGGCATCAGCATGGGGAGGGGGGGGGGGGCGGATAGGAAGGCAAGGCAAGGTAAGCCAAGGCAAGGCAAAACCACCGCAGCCGTTTCGGCCGCCCGTCCGCGGCGTCTCTCTTAGGCTCCTTTTTTTTTTGTGCGGGAAGGGAGGAAACCGAAGGTAAGTGTTCAATGGTTACTTGAGTTTCCACTTCATGGGACGCGGCTGGCCGGCGGCAGTGGCACGGCACGTAACGAACGGGTTGTGTGGTGGTTGGTTCAAAGTGTACAACTGGCGGCGACGCTATTAGGGACTTTTTTTTTTCGGGTTCCGGGAAGGCATTTGCCAGAGTAAAGTGGTACGGTAGAACTGCCGGTGTGTGTGTGTGTGTGTGAAATTGTTCCTTTTGGTCTGAGGTTCTAAGTAAGGTACTTTGGGTCATGGTTTGTTAGACCTGCTTTTCTTTTTTGTCTTTTTTCTACTCTTCTCCGTATCAAGTTATCAGCTATTTTTAACGAGCAACAACGTTTCCAAAATCTTCAAGTTTTGGTCGTGGCTTTTGAATATGGCGGCTTCGTATCATCCCTTCATCCCGGAATCATGGTCAAGCGCCGGCAGAAGGAGAGAAAAGAGTCAACGTCACCACGGACAAATGCCAAAAAAAGTTCTAGTTGATGATAAAAGTCCAGAAATAACGCACAAACTAAGACGCTTCGCTTCTTGTTTTCCATGGCTCTTCTCTTGTTCTTTGTTCTACCTTACGTCTGCGCCTGGCGTATTCGGTACTTGGGAAAACGAACCGACATAAAGGGGGGGGTACCAACCAACCAACCAAACTAACCTGCCCCCTCGTGCCCCCCTCTGCGCCCCCTCAGGAACAAAGGAAGAAGAACAAAGAGTGACCCGTCAGGGAGAATCACGAGGAAAGAGAACTTTTTTTTTGCCAACAAGTACGCAAGTCAAGAAAAGGGAACGAGAGCTTCAATACAACAGCACAATAGAAACAAAGGACTTTTTTTTTTTTTTTTTCCACATCTGCAATGTTCAAATTTTACTCGAAGGAGGGTCCACTAAACCTGAAAGACACGATTGTTCGTTCCCACATGGCTCTCTCTATCGATATGTCTCCCGTGTCAGATCACTGGTGTATGACTGGTTTGTATGGCGTGTGTGCGGTGTGCTGCGGTGCGGGAGGAGGCGAAGAGGGGAGTAAGGTAGGGGAGAGGGGC